AAAAAAAAAAAAAAAAAAAAAAGAAAAAAAAAACACCCTCGGTTCCTCGTTCGTTGACCACGCGCAAGAGTGGCAGAGTGTCGCATCTTCTCGAAGCTCGAAATCCTTCCCTTCTCTCGCAGGAAGAGTCAGTGCAATGAAGAGTGTCAATCGCGTCGTGTGTGTGTGTGCTTTCCCCCCCTCGCGGGTGGCGTCGCGCGCATCCAAGAGCGGCGACCATCGCGCACCTTCCGAGTTTTAGCGGATAATTACTGGAAGAGAGAGATAAAAAAGACCTTTTTTTACGTTTTTTTCCGTTGTTTTTTTCTTCGTTTAAGTTTAATTAATTAATTAAGTGTAATTAGTCTACTCAAATACGGAGAGAGATAGTGATAGTGGTTTTTTTTTTTATTTTTATTTTGTTTAGTAAGTTTCTTCGCGCAAGTAAACACGTAAGCGATCTATATAGAGTCAGGAACGATAATACGAGAGGAATTATCTGAATCTCTGGGTGTCTCTGCTTTTTTTCCCCGTTTTCTTCCGTTTCTTTTTTGCGCTTTCTTGTTTGGTTTGTAAATATATTATTATTTATTTATTTATAATATGTGCACACGTGTGTGACGAGAAGGTGACGTATCGTCGCCATCATCGGATCGGTCGACGAGATCTCAGCGTCTCAAAAAAAAAAACGATCACAAAATGACTCAAAGCGTCGAATACCTCTCACTTTTTTTTTTGTGTTTTTCTCTTTTTGGAATTCGTCCTTAAATTAAAGGAGGGTAGACTTTCGTCGAGGCTTTCTTTCAGCCTTGATGCCTGCGCTCCGTTCTTATTTATTTTTTTTTTTTTTTCACGTCTTCTTCTCTTACGCGTATTTATTATTATTATTACTTTTTGTGTTATTAAAGTATTATTATATTATGAACTTTTTTTGTGTTTCATTAAAGTAAATATTATATTATGAATATATTATTATTAATATCTTCGATATTATTATCGGTACTATTATGATTATTATTATTATTGTTATTAGCATTATTAATATATACTTATTGTTCTTATTATTATTACTTTTAATTGTTTATGCATTAATTATTATTATTATTATTATTATTATTACTGTTATTGTTGGACTGTTATTATTTTATTAGTAATACTTGTAGTAATATTATATATATTACCGTTATTTTAATCATTACTAATATTAATATTATCATTATTATCATTATTGTTGTGTGTTTGCCGTTATTATTATTTAATATTACCACTGTCATTATTAATTAATTAATTATTACTGTTATTATTAATATTATTGTTGTCGTTTATTAATTTCATTATTATTATCATCACCATCGTTATTATCCGTTTTTTTTTTTTTTTTTCATCATCTTTTTACACGTTAAGTCGGTACGGTTAATCGTAAACGCACTCCTTGAGCTTGTTTAAAGGCTTTGTTTTTTTTCTTTATCGAGAAACTTGTACGTATACGCTTCTTATACAGCTTCTCCGAAGAATAAAGTAGAAAAAAGAAGAGTAGTAGTGGTAATAGTAGAAGATGAAGAAGTAGAGAAATTCGAAGAAATATGTTCCTTAACAGTGCTAGAAATACGCTTGCTTAAAGTCGTTCGTTAAACTGTAGGAATGTGGACGCAATTAGTTCTTCCTGTTTTTTTTGTTCTTTTTTTTTGTTTTTTTTTTTTCATGCCGAACGACGGAATGTCTATCAGACTCATCATTTTTTCTTTCCACTCTTTCGCACTTTTTCGCGTTTTTTTTTTTTTTCGATTTATCACTCATCTTCTCTCGCACACGCATACACTGATCGCATATATATTTTGTGCACTCGCTCTTCAGCGCGCGCAATTTGAAAAAAAGAAAAGAAAAACGACAAGATCAGTCAAAATCGCATCGAGGAAACGGACAATTCGGCAGCTCGATTCTACTCTCGCGGGCGGATTGCACCTTCGCACTCTCTTTCCCCTTCCTACCTACAGCTTTTCTACGATCCATTAATTGTTCTCTCTTTGTTTTTTTTTTTTTTTTTACACTACTCTCCGTTCATCGTGATTCACTTATTTTGTAACGCTTGCTCCCGCTTTCAGCATTTTTTTTTTTTTTTTACATTCTCTTTCCCTCGCCGTTGTCCTCATTTCGCTACATTTGATTACCGTTACTTAACTTTATTTTGATAATAATTTAGTAATAGTACGACGATACCCCTTCCCCCCCTTAATAAGGCCCAGTAAGGCTGCGTGGGTGAAACGTGACAAATCCCACGAAAAAAATTTCATTTACAGTTTTCTCTTCGCGCGTGTTTCTTTTTTTTTTTTTTGCGTTTTAACCCGCGTGCGTCGCTTCGGAACAACAAACCGCGACGTGGATGCGTCTTGTCGATTGACGCATTTTTTTCTTCAATAAAGAATTTTGACGCGGCATCATTCAGAAATCTTATCGCTTCGTGCACGAGTCTTTTTTTTTTTTTTCAAGGTTTATTGTCGCATTATTGTTACTTCGCAATCAATTGCCAAATTTGAGATCACCTCTCGCACACATTCTTCACTTTTCTTATTATTTTTACAAAAATCTTAAGAAACGCACGCATTCCAATGGAGTTTCGCGAGTTTGTTTTACTTCAGTATGCGCGCCGCGCGCGGCGATCGTTTCGATCGGTGTGAACCAAAATATTGTCGTGTGTGTGTGTGTGTGTGTGTGTGTGTGTGTGTAATTGCGTTTTTTGTTTTGCGGTTTATCGAATTGCGTTTATCTCACTGTTCGTTTTTGTAAAAATTCTTGAAATATACGCACGCTCGCGACACTCGTTTCATACAATCTTTTTTTTTTTAGAGCCAATCTTAAAAATACAAGTAATATCTAATTTATAATTAATAATAATACTAATAATAATAACAATAATAATAATAATAACAACAACAACAACAATAATTATAATAATAATAATAATAGTAATAATCTCTCCTTAGCTTGTTTTAAACTTTTGAATACTTTCCGAACTTCATTCGTTTTAACTTTCAAAATTCCACTTTCCGACCCCGACACACTGGATTTTTACGTGTGTGTCATGTGTGTGTACGTGTGTGTATTTTATGTTATACGTTTTTGTATTTGTGTGTGTGTGTGTGTTCGTGTGCGTGCGCGCGCGTGCGTACATGTGTGTGTACGTGTTTGTGTGTGTGTGTGTGTATATATTCTATTTATAATATATATATTTATATATATATGTATATTTTAGACTTTTAAATAGCATTTTTTCTCGTTAATTTTTTTTTTTTAAACCGTTATTTTCGATACTTTCATAAGGTTTGCATACAAAACAAGGCAATTAGATTGAGTTTTTCTTTTTCTTTATATACTTAAACCTTAACCGCGCCCGCGTACGCGAATATTTATATACTTCGGTTTTGAATCACGTCGTGTGTGTATGTTAATGCGTCTCTCTCTCCGAGTATGTATATATAATATTTATATAATATATATACATTATATATATAAACGTAAAAGAGAGAGAGTCTCTCTCTCACGTCTTTTACTTTCAATCGTTTGAATTTCTCGCTCGCTCTCTCTCTCTCTCTCTCCCCCTCATTCTCGCTCCCTTTCTCTCCCTCTCTTTCTCTCCCTCTCTCTCATTACGCAACTAATAAAGAAAGACTAAGCTCTTGGATAAGAATTACTGACTCTGAATACTTCATTATTTTTTTTTTTTTTTTTTTATGTATATATATCACGCCTTTTCTCCTTACGATTCGCGTACAAATAAATCGGATATAGATAAATATATTATATATATATATTTATATATATATGTATATATCTCGTAGACGACGCTTTGAAATCGAGACGCCGCGTCTCTTTCTCTCTCTTCTTCTCTCTTACTTTTGTTTTTCTTTTTTTTTTTTTTACAAATTACCGTTTTGGTAAGATCTAAATCTATTTACTCGACCGTTCTACTCTCAGAAAGGCCAAAATTGTATAATTTTTTATCGCCACGCGCGAATCGCATCCTAGACGAGGCGTCCGTTTGACGCAACTCGCGTCGACGCGTGGCGCGTTTGGTTAGTAATCTAGCAAAAATTATCTAGTCTCTTTGTCGACTACTTTCATCAGTTTTTTTTCAGGAAACTACCCTCTCCTCGCGAATATCGTTCGAGCGCCCGCCGCTTGTCGTTTACGCGAGGCGCTCGAACGGCTCTTTCTCTCTTTTTTTTTTCTTTCTCTCTTACTCTCTTTCTTTCTTTCTCTCTCGATCGGATATCAAACCCAAAGAAATTCGGACGGTTTCTGGACCGATTTGCCGGACGGATTTGCCGGACCCGGACCACGATCCAGGCGGGCGATTGCAACGTTTACGAACGACACGCTCGATCGTCTTCTTTTTCTTTCGTTTCTTTGTTTTTTTGTTTTTGTTTTTGTTTTTTTTTTTGTTTTATTATTTTACCCTCGAACCACCCGCCCTCTAAGGGCAGCCGCACTCGTCCACCACCATCTTCGGCAGATCCCTCTTGATGATGTTCGAGTCCGGACCGTAGTAGATGAGCGACATGGGCGAGAACTTGAGGGGCGCGCAGCACGGCTGCATTCCGACCAGCCGGTCCATCTTCCGGTATTCTTCAATCACGTGGGTGTAGTAGTTGAGAAACGTGTCCGGCGTTCTGTGACCAGCCGCGCAGTCTCCTCTGCAGTAATTGGCGTAGTATCTGTTTTGTGAAAAGAGAAATCGACGGCGTCAACGCGCGAAATGCGACGCTAAGATAAATCTTGAAAAGATTCTTTGAAAGTCTTTATGATATTTTTAACAAGTTGTGTGTGTCCGAGAGGAGTTAATTTTTATTTTTTTTTTTTTTTATATTATTATCACTGCTTTCTTACCCCGGAGGAGCGATTATCCAATCGTCCCACCCTAGCTGCCGGAAGCTCACGTAGAACTTCTGCTTGCAGCATTGGCCCCTACTCGAGTCGTTGCACTCGATCGCTCGTCTTCTCACGCGTTTCACGGCAGCCGGATCTGTACGCACGACCAGAAACGGCCTGTTGTCTGGATCGGTCTCGTCTGCAAAAAAAAACGTTCTCTTTTATTACACGTACGTGTATTAGAGCTCTTATTAGTGCTCTTGAAAAGTTTTTTATGAATTTTTTCGTGGCCCCCTCTCTAGATTAGAATGGTTCTAATTGCTAAAATATAACCTGTAAAAAAGTTCGATCGGATTGAAAAGGAAAAGAAGCCCTTGGGCTCTTAAACATTGAAAAAAATTATTTAAATGAATAAAGAATCGATTTTATTTGATTATCTTCCAACTTATTGATTACATCGAAAAACACGTTGAACAAAAGTTGTAGATCTGGATCAGAAGTATATTTTTTTATCATTTGCTACTTTTTTTTCGAACAACTAACGGTCCTCTCCAAACAAATTCAAAAAACGAAGAAAATTACTTAATATTTAGTTACAATTCTTGACGCTGAGACAAGTGAGATGTGAGACACTTGTATATTTGTTGCTCGATTGATCAGCGGCATCGGATCGTTAATTATTAAACGACGCGATCTATCTCGATATGCGAGATTCTTGAATTTTTTTGTATAATTTTTTATCGCCACGCGCGAATCGCATCCTAGACGAGGCGTCCGTTTAAAAGCAACGTTGATTGTCAATTTTTTCAATTCTTGAACATGTTGAAAAATTTTTCTTTCAAATAGTATTTGTTTGTTACACATAACACAGAGCAACTCGGATGTATCGCAAAAATCTCTCTTTCGACATTTCTCAACAATTACCTTTCGAATCTAAAGACGACTCAATCACGTGCGGCGAGTGCCCGTCGAAGGTCGATACGTGGACGCGGGAGCCGCACCCGCTGCAGTCGACGAGCAACGTCAGCTTATCCGTCGAGTTCATATACCATTCGCTGACGACCTTCGTCACGTCGAATTTCTGCCAGCCGAGTTGGCCGACGTTCGCCACGAGAGATGTCACCATCTCCAGGTGCTGCCCGAGCTCCTGCAAATGAAAACATTCGCGTCAGAAAAAAAAAAACTTTTGGGGGTCTCGAGAGAATGTCGAGAATGTGTGCGAGAGTATTTTATTTACGCGTTGGGAAAAAAATTTTATATGCAACATTCTATATGTTACATGCAGAAGTGTAACATTTTATACGTTAAATTCTGTACTGCCGTCCTTAGTTAAAATGTCCTGTCTCGCATTTTTCAAGATATTGCAGTATTGGAAGTCCTACACATGTTCCATCTTTTAAACGAAGGTAGAAAGTTCTAAAAACTAATTTACAGATGTCTAGAAAGTGTTTAACTTAGTTGTCCTAACTGCTGATGGCACAAACAAAAGAATAAAAAACCTCAGTTTTTTCGATTTTTCCTATATGCTAGATAAGGATATTTTAGCTAAGGAGGACAGTATGTGTAACAGAATATAATTTTGCACAAAATCGAATTGCGTCAAAAATATATATTTGTCGAAAACAAATATCTCTACTAGTATTTCGAAAACTAATGCGTAATTTCGCAAAGCAAAAAAATTTGCGAAATATGTATTTCACGTTAAAATTTTTGCTTGAAATATCGAGAAAGTTCGATTTCAAATTCCGAATAACTTGTGCAAAAATACATCGTGTGGCGTGTGTGGATTACCTTGCCTCGGAGGTGCGTTCTGTTACCGCAGTGTACTCTGAACACCCAAAGAGTGATATTTCTTTGGTTATACTGGCTGTGACGATGATGCTGATACTGATGGGCGTGCTTGAGCTCCACTCGCGCCCACAGAATGGCCCGTTTGATTCTCAAAGGTTCCAACGCCGGTTCGCCGCTGCTCGACATCGTGAATTCCAGCAGTGGGTGATCGTTTAATGTGCGTCCTGCAACAGCGTGTGGGTCGGAATATTTTTATTTCATAGAAAAACCGCGAAAGATTATCAAGAGAACGAAAATTAAAATCAAAGTTTCACGTAATTTTTTTCACAATTACCGACAGTTCGACGACACACGACGTCGTCTAAATATTTATAAAATAAGGAAAAGGTTTGTCGCGCAATTTATGTGCGCGTGTAATTGTTAATTTCCGTTCGCAACTAAAAAAATTCCCGCATAGTCGTCGAAGGTGAATCTTTCCAGACTTGTTGTCTTTTTGTCTTGCTCTCCCCGTGTCTCGGGTCTATGTACTAGGAATTACACGTCGGACTTCATTCATATACAAGGGGTGTCTTTCGATCCGGAATTTTAATAATAAATTCTCGCACAAACACGAACGCGATTTCACCTCGAGGGAAAAATGAGAAAAGTTTACAAATACGATTTGTTTCATTATTCCGAGAACAAAATCCCCCGGTGAAATTTTACGGAGAATCATCATTTTACAATTACAAACTTCGTACTTCTGTCCCAGCCACCCTTTACGTACACGCACACGCACGTATACACGTGCAACACGCTGCGTTCAACGCTCGTTCACTCGAAAGCGCCGCTCTCTCTCTCTCTCTCTCTCTCTCTCTCTCTCTCTCTCTCTCT